GAGCTGAAGCGAGACTGCCTTTCTTCACCGATTGTTCGGCTTTTATACCTTTCTAGAGAGAACGGAAAAATTATTTAAATTAAACGCAAATTTTTTGTAAATGGTCAAGAGGAAAGAGTATTTATGTGGAATTATCGAAATAGGAACAACAGATCGGTAGCAAATTTGAATATAATTACTATGGAAACGATATAAATAACAATGACAAAACATGTCAAATTTTGGTTTTAGGTTTATAATAAGAAAACGGTAAGATTTAAGTGGAAAATGAGATATTATTGATATAGGAAAAAGGTAGCGCAGCTGCCCACACAAAGCCCGAGATTGTAGAATTACGGAAAACTAGCTAAAAGATCGAAAAAAAGGTAGACTCCATTGACACCAATTTAAAAGTGCTGATAATGTGAAATTACGAAGTAGAAATGATTTGTTATTGTGTTCTTATGGTTTAAAATCGTTACAGGATCCTATGGAAATAAAGGTGATGTAAAATATCCAGTTTTGAGGTGAATGCAGAAAATCGAAACAGAATGGAAAAATGAATTTAAAATAATGTAAAATGATATGTGCGCCATATATTGGGCGCCAAATGTCGTGAAGCGACAATTAAAAAAAAAATAGAACCTAACCTAAGTACAACAAAACAACAAAAGTAGTGCCAGAAAACAATATATTTAAATTTATAAAAGGTATTTACAATTTTATAAAAAAAATGAAATGAGGATGATGATGAATGAAGTGAGAGTACAATTAGATTATAAAAAAAAAATAAAGGTGAGAGAATAGGGGAATATAGTGTTGTAGTGGGGCCTAAAAGTCGAAGCGACACACGTTTGTAGAAGTAGGTTTCTTTGCAGCGACGGCACGCAGCGCCTGAAGCCAGCACACGCCGTTTGCGCTTGTAGAGGTAGGTTTTCTTAGCAGCGACGGCGCGCAGCGCCTGGAGCCAGTACACGCAGCGTCCGGAGCCGGCGCACGTAGCGCCTGGAGAAGGGGCGCGCAACGCTTAGAGCCAGCAGTTGCAGCGCCCAAAGGTAGCGCCGGCGGTAGGTGCACTCGGCGCCTGGAGTAAGTAGTAGTAGTGCCCGGAGTAGTGTGGCCCCCGCGCTTGTAGTAGACTCGAAGCGACTTCCGAGGTAGATGGAGGCTTGTAGGATTCCGGAGTGGCGCGGCCCGAGTTTTAAGAAGGCTTCGCCGAAGACTTCAAGTGTAAATGGAGGCTTGCAGGATCCCGGGGCAGTGCGGCCCCGGGATAAGGCCTTTAGGAGATACTTCTAATTCGCGAACTGAAGCGAGACTGCCTTTCTTCACCGATTGTTTGGCTTTTATACCTTTCTAGAGAGAACGGAAAAATTATTTAAATTATACGCAAATTTTTTGTAAATGGTCAAGAGAAAAGAGGATTTATGTGGAATTATCGAAATAGGAATAACAGATCGGTAGCAAATTTGAATATAATTACCATGGAAACGATATAAATAAGAAAGACAAAACATGTCAAATTTTTGTTTTTGGTTTATAATAAGAAAACGGTAAGATTTAAGTGGAAAATGAGATATTATTGATATAGGAAAAAAGGTAGCGCAGCTGCCCACACTAAGTCCAAGATTGTAGAGTTACGGAAAACTAGCTAAAAGATCGAAAAAAGGTAGACTCCATTGACACCAATTTAAAAGTGATGATAATGTGAAAATACGAAGTAGAAATGATTTGTTATTGTGTTCTTATGGTTTAAAATCGTTACAGGATCCTATGGAAATAAAGGTGATGTAAAATATCCAGTTTTGAGGTGAATGCAGAAAATCGAAACAGAATGGAAAAATGAATTTAAAATAATGTAAAATGATACGTAAGTAGTATAACACTACAAAACACAGTAGCGTTAAGCTGCTATTTTACGCTGGTTTTCTGTGAGAGCGTGGTCCTTCCCCGGTCGAGCCGACCCATTCGTGCTACAACCATAATATAGCTGCAGCATGGCTCTACCACATAGAAAAATAATATACGCATTCTGTGTAAATTTCAACTGTCTACATATTACGGATCATGAGATACAGCTCGCCGACAGACAGATGGACGGACAGCGGAGGCTTAGTAATAGGATCCCGTCGGTTACCCTTTCGGTACGGAAACTTGAAAAATATTTACAATTATTAATTGTGTGGTATCGTCGCTTTTAAATTGCCTGGACAATCTCGTTTCTGAAATTTTGTATTTGTCAGAGTCTAACAGAGCCTGTAGTAATTTACTGTACTATGAAACACCAACAAAATTGTAACCTAGAGATGGCAAATAAACGCATTTATTATTGAATTGTTTTTTACTACTTTGTATTTAAGAATAGCAGAACAAGGGCCCCTCGATAGAATTTGCTACGGGCCCCGCGCTTGCTTAATCCGGCACTGGATTCATGACGCAGTTGTCGGTCAATTGACTAAAATCCGCCACGTGAATACAACACCGCGCGTGTCCCCCGCGGCATAAACGAGTAAGCACATTCTGCGAGTAATAAACTACATAATGTAATCCATGTAGCTTATGAGTATAAAGAAATACTACTCACAACGTTATCATAAAAGGTTAAAGCTGACGATGGTACTTACGTCACACTGAGGGCCCTCTTAGACCAAGGCTCTCAGCCCAAAAATTAGGTCTACGCCGCACTAAGTATCAGGCATTGGGGCCGCCACTAAACAAGGCAAATTGCATGGTCTCTAGATTGTATGTAAACACTGGTTCAGATCAGACGCTTAAAATTGAATCCCAATACAATATTTTAAGGCGTAATGAAGACATAATGGACAAGCATTTTACCACTGTTATAGAATATATGAATAATTTAGCACTAAGTTGATAAAGTACGACTATTATAATCATAACGGGTTTATGTAACAAAATCAGCGTTAGCCGCTAGTATCTAGGTACCATCATATCGAATTTAAGATGAACAACAATTTGCAAGAAACTTTGCTTCGACTCTCGCGTAGACTTCCGACAAGGCCGCATCGAAACTCACTTGTTGCTACCTGAGCAGTTAGAACAGCAGATCGACATTTATCATCGATCAATTGAGAAACGAGCCGTGGTAGCTCAGTCGGTTAGCGCTCGCTGTAAGCTTCACAGTACTCGAGCAACCCGGGTTCGATCCCCGCCGGCACCAATGAAATTGTTAATTGCAATTTTAAGTGCTGATTTACCATGTACTCGGCGGTGAAGGAAAACATCGTGAGGAAACCTGCATGACTGAGAAATAAGAAAAAATATATTTCAAATACATGTGAAGTTCGCCAACACGCATTGGGGCAGCGCGGCGGACATTTCCTTGTCCTAAAACCCTCTCAGAAATGAGAGGAAGCCTGTACCCAGTTTAATTGAGAAACTATCTCACTCTATACTATTGATAGTTCTAACTATTATTTATTCTGTAGTTCTAGCCCTAGGGAGCTATATAAATTGAGATATATATATATATATTTATAGATTATATATATATCTCTCAATTTATATAGCTCCCTATACGTTATATCGAAATTAAATATAGACATGTGTGCAGTTCACAAGCGGTAGAAGTGACCATTAATACCTGGTACATGGCAACACTATTTACCACTGGCGCCCTCTAGTATCGAGTAGCAGAACTAGGAGAGTCAAGATCCTTCTAGAATTAGTTTTAAATTGTAATTATTGTTCTGTAATTAAAGTGTCAATTTTGGTAATTAACTCGGCAGTTTTTAATTGTCTCGAACCTCAACCTTTGTAACACTATGGATGTTTGTCTCCCTTTAGTGTTGCTTTTTCGTTTGATCGATTTTTAAATCACAACGATTCTAAAGAAATTTTCACTTCAAATATCATCTGTGGATCAAACTACATAGAGATAACACCTGGGTCTTTTCATGTCATGATGCAGGAATGAATTTAGTCTATAAGAATGTACATGAATACGTTTAGTATATATGCACATAATAACTACTTTAAAAATGTCGTGACAATTTGAAAATGTGAATATACCTCAGTCGGTACTGAATAATCTTATTAACAGAAACTTTTTTATTCAATATAGATTATAAATAATACTTATTGAAAGTCATTCTTTTGTATGATTACCACTGGTTCGAAAAAAAAAACCTCTGTCCTGGGAAGAACCAGCAAGAAACCCAGCGGGACTTTTTTTTTTTAAATAACAGCTTACAATCATGTATGTTACACAAATCAACAACACAATAAATTAGAAATAGCTTGGTAGCGATCACCTAATTTCCAGGGGTTATTATCATCTATAAATTCATTAATATTATAATAACCCTTTTTATACAAGCTTAGTTTAATAAAGTTTTTGAACTTTGAGCAGGTCAAATTTTGTATATTTTCTGGAATTTTGTTGTAAAAGCGTATACATCGCCCCAAGAATGAATTACTGACTCGATGGAGTCGAGTAACTGGTACAAGTATTATGTTCGATAAGACACCAGATAAATGCTATCAAAGGACAGGAGAGCTTTCACCCATGACATTCATCATTATTAAGCTATATACGTACTTGTTGCTGTATGGCTGTCGGTACTTGTTGTCCTTATTTGTTTTGATGGCGGAGGAGAAGCCTTCCAAAAGAGAGCTCTGAGGAAGCTGGCAAACGAACGCCGCCGCGTCAAACGGAACAAGCAAGTGTCAGTGCTAAAAGCACTAAAAGTATAACAACGTTACTCATTGAGCTAGGACTAGTATAATTCGAGGTCCTTAGAGTAGTTGAGCATAGAGGAAAGTGATGCTTTAAAGATAATGAACCTTGACACTTTTTACCATAGTTCTTATTAGCTATCATTTATGGTATATAAACATATTTATTGTTTAAAATATTACTCACTTTAATTGTTAAAATAAGTATTTAAGTAATTGTAAATATAGTAACACTATTATTTAGCATTGTGATATTAATCCATCATCACCCCTCGTTGGCCTTTCTCGAGAGGTGCAAGATGTACAATGAAACGCACATATTTCACAATAATTTATATGTATTTAATTTTATTAACTTAGCACTCTTACTAACACTGCAGTTTTATGCGCCAATACTTATCGATCAGAACATTACATGCATTCATATCAAAGAGTTCTTTCCTTGTCATTTCAATTATCTTATCATAACAACCTTTACATCATCCTTTATCATCCTATCAATAAGTGTGAGAATTACACTCCACAGGTATTTAAACATACATTAAAAAAAAAAAAACAACAGATAGTAAACAAAACTGTATGTAATCATTATTAAATACACTATTTTCATACAAAATTTGTGAATTTTTTTATAATTTAAAAAGTGTTGAAAAAATAAGACCCATTTAATCTCAAGTGGGATTGAGAATAACGAAATTATGTTTATTGTTATATCAATATTAACAATTATTTCTGTCCAGTTAATCTTAAATAAGAGAATGTTAAAACTGGTATCTATAATAAAAAATTGGTACTAATAAGTTAAGAACTACATATACTGTGATTGAACTAGTATGGATGTAAAAAAAATGTAAAATTTTTCAATTTACAGAAAAGCTCTAAACATACGTAAGTGCAAGAATAATTTAAATCAATAAAACAATTATTTTATATAAAAGGTTTTAATATCTGGAACATTCTCTACTTAGATAACACCTTCGATGTTCTTTTAATGTAAGGAACATTCTTTACTTAGATATCTTATAACACCTTGGATGTTCTTATCAATACTGTCACAATGTATTTTACAATTGAAGTTGCTTATACCGATAAATCAAATTATTGTATAAAAAAAGGTTTTATTTGATAGTAAATTATTTTTGTAATATGGCAATAAGACTTTTGATTGTTATTGCAAAATAAAAAAATTGATATGGACAGAAAAAATTCAAAGAAACTGTAGTTGCTGGTGCGGCGCAACAGTATCGAGGAATGCATTAAACACAGGAGCTGTGTTGTTTGCTGTGCTGTGTTAGCGCGCCTGTGCCTTGTCTTGCGCGAGTCTGCGCAGCAGCCGGTGTCCCGACAGGAACGTGAGCAGCGCCAACGGAGCCAGGTAGCGCAGCGTCTCGAACATTGTCAGCCTCAGCCAGAACATCACGTACAGACCCAGCGAACCTGACAAACCACAGACATTAATTTTTGTTTTCTGAACATCAGTTTACATTATGACTGTGGTTATATTAATTAGATAAGGTTATGGTTTAGCTAGATGAATGAATAGTAAAATTGTAGTATATGTTCATAATAAACGCCAACGCGAGTGGACGTAGTTTTGATCGCTTATCAAATATTTATTTTATACGTTTAAAAGTTATAATTGTATCAAGTGTTGCACATTAAAACATTTACTTGTGTTAGAACTACATATTGTGACAATTTTCGCGAACTGAATTGTTGTTTGTTTATCACTATTAACTAAAACAAATATCAACTAGGACGTTGACAAGTGAATCCGAGGATGGTTTGAAAAGAAAAATATTTGTTAATTAGTGACCAAACGCGTGTGAGTGCTTACATGCTATACTTAACGTCATACTACGTCGAGACAACGCAGCTCGTACGAAAACAGGGTCAAGTTTTCGCACACTTATACGGACAGCTCAACGCGAAAATCTTAATTCGCTGTTCAGATAATTGTGCGATCGAATCCCATCGATTTCTGAATATTTATTATTTGGATATTTTTTTTTGCACACAGCGCCAGCAGCAGCAGCAGCGGCGCCGCGCACGTACACTACGTACATGTGTGCACGAGTGTACAGTGTACAGTGTACAGTGCACGTGTGCGTGTACGTACCTGCGAGCGCGAGGTGGAACAGCAGCGCGCTGGGCGGCGGGGTGGCGAGGCGCGGGCGCAGGCGCGCCCACAGCGCCAGCAGCAGCAGCAGCGGCGCCGCGCACGTACACTACGTACATGTGTGCACGAGTGTACAGTGTACAGTGTACAGTGCACGTGTGCGTGTACGTACCTGCGAGCGCGAGGTGGAACAGCAGCGCGCTGGGCGGCGGGGTGGCGAGGCGCGGGCGCAGGCGCGCCCACAGCGCCAGCAGCAGCAGCAGCGGCGCCGCGCACGTACACTACGTACATGTGTGCACGAGTGTACAGTGTACAGTGTACAGTGCACGTGTGCGTGTACGTACCTGCGAGCGCGAGGTGGAACAGCAGCGCGCTGGGCGGCGGGGTGGCGAGGCGCGGGCGCAGGCGCGCCCACAGCGCCAGCAGCAGCAGCAGCGGCGCCGCGCACGTACACTACGTACATGTGTGCACGAGTGTACAGTGTACAGTGCACGTGTGCGTGTACGTACCTGCGAGCGCGAGGTGGAACAGCAGCGCGCTGGGCGGCGGGGTGGCGAGGCGCGGGCGCAGGCGCGCCCACAGCGCCAGCAGCAGCAGCAGCGGCGCCGCGCACGTACACTACGTACATGTGTGCACGAGTGTACAGTGTACAGTGTACAGTGCACGTGTGCGTGTACGTACCTGCGAGCGCGAGGTGGAACAGCAGCGCGCTGGGCGGCGGGGTGGCGAGGCGCGGGCGCAGGCGCGCCCACAGCGCCAGCAGCAGCAGCAGCGGCGCCGCGCACGTACACTACGTACATGTGTGCACGAGTGTACAGTGTACAGTGCACGTGTGCGTGTACGTACCTGCGAGCGCGAGGTGGAACAGCAGCGCGCTGGGCGGCGGGGTGGCGAGGCGCGGGCGCAGGCGCGCCCACAGCGCCAGCAGCAGCAGCAGCGGCGCCGCGCACGTACACTACGTACATGTGTGCACGAGTGTACAGTGTACAGTGCACGTGTGCGTGTACGTACCTGCGAGCGCGAGGTGGAACAGCAGCGCGCTGGGCGGCGGGGTGGCGAGGCGCGGGCGCAGGCGCGCCCACAGCGCCAGCAGCAGCAGCAGCGGCGCCGCGCACGTACACTACGTACATGTGTGCACGAGTGTACAGTGTACAGTGTACAGTGCACGTGTGCGTGTACGTACCTGCGAGCGCGAGGTGGAACAGCAGCGCGCTGGGCGGCGGGGTGGCGAGGCGCGGGCGCAGGCGCGCCCACAGCGCCAGCAGCAGCAGCAGCGGCGCCGCGCACGTACACTACGTACATGTGTGCACGAGTGTACAGTGTACAGTGTACAGTGCACGTGTGCGTGTACGTACCTGCGAGCGCGAGGTGGAACAGCAGCGCGCTGGGCGGCGGGGTGGCGAGGCGCGGGCGCAGGCGCGCCCACAGCGCCAGCAGCAGCAGCAGCGGCGCCGCGCACGTACACTACGTACATGTGTGCACGAGTGTACAGTGTACAGTGTACAGTGCACGTGTGCGTGTACGTACCTGCGAGCGCGAGGTGGAACAGCAGCGCGCTGGGCGGCGGGGTGGCGAGGCGCGGGCGCAGGCGCGCCCACAGCGCCAGCAGCAGCAGCAGCGGCGCCGCGCACGTACACTACGTACATGTGTGCACGAGTGTACAGTGTACAGTGCACGTGTGCGTGTACGTACCTGCGAGCGCGAGGTGGAACAGCAGCGCGCTGGGCGGCGGGGTGGCGAGGCGCGGGCGCAGGCGCGCCCACAGCGCCAGCAGCAGCAGCAGCGGCGCCGCGCACGTACACTACGTACATGTGTGCACGAGTGTACAGTGTACAGTGTACAGTGCACGTGTGCGTGTACGTACCTGCGAGCGCGAGGTGGAACAGCAGCGCGCTGGGCGGCGGGGTGGCGAGGCGCGGGCGCAGGCGCGCCCACAGCGCCAGCAGCAGCAGCAGCGGCGCCGCGCACGTACACTACGTACATGTGTGCACGAGTGTACAGTGTACAGTGTACAGTGCACGTGTGCGTGTACGTACCTGCGAGCGCAAGGTGGAACAGCAGCGCGCTGGGCGGCGGGGTGGCGAGGCGCGGGCGCAGGCGCGCCCACAGCGCCAGCAGCAGCAGCAGCGGCGCCGCGCACGTACACTACGTACATGTGTGCACGAGTGTACAGTGTACAGTGTACAGTGCACGTGTGCGTGTACGTACCTGCGAGCGCGAGGTGGAACAGCAGCGCGCTGGGCGGCGGGGTGGCGAGGCGCGGGCGCAGGCGCGCCCACAGCGCCAGCAGCAGCAGCAGCGGCGCCGCGCACGTACACTACGTACATGTGTGCACGAGTGTACAGTGTACAGTGTACAGTGCACGTGTGCGTGTACGTACCTGCGAGCGCGAGGTGGAACAGCAGCGCGCTGGGCGGCGGGGTGGCGAGGCGCGGGCGCAGGCGCGCCCACAGCGCCAGCAGCAGCAGCAGCGGCGCCGCGCACGTACGCTACGTACATGTGTGCACGAGTGTACAGTGTACAGTGTACAGTGCACGTGTGCGTGTACGTACCTGCGAGCGCGAGGTGGAACAGCAGCGCGCTGGGCGGCGGGGTGGCGAGGCGCGGGCGCAGGCGCGCCCACAGCGCCAGCAGCAGCAGCAGCGGCGCCGCGCACGTACGCTACGTACATGTGTGCACGAGTGTACAGTGTACAGTGTACAGTGCACGTGTGCGTGTATGTACCTGCGAGCGCGAGGTGGAACAGCAGCGCGCTGGGCGGCGGGGTGGCGAGGCGCGGGCGCAGGCGCGCCCACAGCGCCAGCAGCAGCAGCAGCGGCGCCGCGCACGTACGCTACGTACATGTGTGCACGAGTGTACAGTGTACAGTGTACAGTGCACGTGTGCGTGTATGTACCTGCGAGCGCGAGGTGGAACAGCAGCGCGCTGGGCGGCGGGGTGGCGAGGCGCGGGCGCAGGCGCGCCCACAGCGCCAGCAGCAGCAGCAGCGGCGCCGCGCACGTACGCTACGTACATGTGTGCACGAGTGTACAGTGTACAGTGTACAGTGCACGTGTGCGTGTATGTACCTGCGAGCGCGAGGTGGAACAGCAGCGCGCTGGGCGGCGGGGTGGCGAGGCGCGGGCGCAGGCGCGCCCACAGCGCCAGCAGCAGCAGCAGCGGCGCCGCGCACGTACACTACGTACATGTGTGCACGAGTGTACAGTGTACAGTGCACGTGTGCGTGTACGTACCTGCGAGCGCGAGGTGGAACAGCAGCGCGCTGGGCGGCGGGGTGGCGAGGCGCGGGCGCAGGCGCGCCCACAGCGCCAGCAGCAGCAGCAGCGGCGCCGCGCACGTACACTACGTACATGTGTGCACGAGTGTACAGTGTACAGTGTACAGTGCACGTGTGCGTGTACGTACCTGCGAGCGCGAGGTGGAACAGCAGCGCGCTGGGCGGCGGGGTGGCGAGGCGCGGGCGCAGGCGCGCCCACAGCGCCAGCAGCAGCAGCAGCGGCGCCGCGCACGTACACTACGTACATGTGTGCACGAGTGTACAGTGTACAGTGTACAGTGCACGTGTGCGTGTATGTACCTGCGAGCGCGAGGTGGAACAGCAGCGCGCTGGGCGGCGGGGTGGCGAGGCGCGGGCGCAGGCGCGCCCACAGCGCCAGCAGCAGCAGCAGCGGCGCCGCGCACGTACGCTACGTACATGTGTGCACGAGTGTACAGTGTACAGTGTACAGTGCACGTGTGCGTGTATGTACCTGCGAGCGCGAGGTGGAACAGCAGCGCGCTGGGCGGCGGGGTGGCGAGGCGCGGGCGCAGGCGCGCCCACAGCGCCAGCAGCAGCAGCAGCGGCGCCGCGCACGTACACTACGTACATGTGTGCACGAGTGTACAGTGTACAGTGCACGTGTGCGTGTACGTACCTGCGAGCGCGAGGTGGAACAGCAGCGCGCTGGGCGGCGGGGTGGCGAGGCGCGGGCGCAGGCGCGCCCACAGCGCCAGCAGCAGCAGCAGCGGCGCCGCGCACGTACACTACGTACATGTGTGCACGAGTGTACAGTGTACAGTGTACAGTGCACGTGTGCGTGTACGTACCTGCGAGCGCGAGGTGGAACAGCAGCGCGCTGGGCGGCGGGGTGGCGAGGCGCGGGCGCAGGCGCGCCCACAGCGCCAGCAGCAGCAGCAGCGGCGCCGCGCACGTACACTACGTACATGTGTGCACGAGTGTACAGTGTACAGTGTACAGTGCACGTGTGCGTGTACGTACCTGCGAGCGCGAGGTGGAACAGCAGCGCGCTGGGCGGCGGGGTGGCGAGGCGCGGGCGCAGGCGCGCCCACAGCGCCAGCAGCAGCAGCAGCGGCGCCGCGCACGTACACTACGTACATGTGTGCACGAGTGTACAGTGTACAGTGTACAGTGCACGTGTGCGTGTACGTACCTGCGAGCGCGAGGTGGAACAGCAGCGCGCTGGGCGGCGGGGTGGCGAGGCGCGGGCGCAGGCGCGCCCACAGCGCCAGCAGCAGCAGCAGCGGCGCCGCGCACGTACACTACGTACATGTGTGCACGAGTGTACAGTGTACAGTGTACAGTGCACGTGTGCGTGTACGTACCTGCGAGCGCGAGGTGGAACAGCAGCGCGCTGGGCGGCGGGGTGGCGAGGCGCGGGCGCAGGCGCGCCCACAGCGCCAGCAGCAGCAGCAGCGGCGCCGCGCACGTACACTACGTACATGTGTGCACGAGTGTACAGTGTACAGTGTACAGTGCACGTGTGCGTGTACGTACCTGCGAGCGCGAGGTGGAACAGCAGCGCGCTGGGCGGCGGGGTGGCGAGGCGCGGGCGCAGGCGCGCCCACAGCGCCAGCAGCAGCAGCAGCGGCGCCGCGCACGTACACTACGTACATGTGTGCACGAGTGTACAGTGTACAGTGTACAGTGCACGTGTGCGTGTACGTACCTGCGAGCGCGAGGTGGAACAGCAGCGCGCTGGGCGGCGGGGTGGCGAGGCGCGGGCGCAGGCGCGCCCACAGCGCCAGCAGCAGCAGCAGCGGCGCCGCGCACGTACACTACGTACATGTGTGCACGAGTGTACAGTGTACAGTGCACGTGTGCGTGTACGTACCTGCGAGCGCGAGGTGGAACAGCAGCGCGCTGGGCGGCGGGGTGGCGAGGCGCGGGCGCAGGCGCGCCCACAGCGCCAGCAGCAGCAGCAGCGGCGCCGCGCACGTACACTACGTACATGTGTGCACGAGTGTACAGTGTACAGTGCACGTGTGCGTGTACGTACCTGCGAGCGCGAGGTGGAACAGCAGCGCGCTGGGCGGCGGGGTGGCGAGGCGCGGGCGCAGGCGCGCCCACAGCGCCAGCAGCAGCAGCAGCGGCGCCGCGCACGTACACTACGTACATGTGTGCACGAGTGTACAGTGTACAGTGTACAGTGCACGTGTGCGTGTACGTACCTGCGAGCGCGAGGTGGAACAGCAGCGCGCTGGGCGGCGGGGTGGCGAGGCGCGGGCGCAGGCGCGCCCACAGCGCCAGCAGCAGCAGCAGCGGCGCCGCGCACGTACACTACGTACATGTGTGCACGAGTGTACAGTGTACAGTGTACAGTGCACGTGTGCGTGTACGTACCTGCGAGCGCGAGGTGGAACAGCAGCGCGCTGGGCGGCGGGGTGGCGAGGCGCGGGCGCAGGCGCGCCCACAGCGCCAGCAGCAGCAGCAGCGGCGCCGCGCACGTACACTACGTACATGTGTGCACGAGTGTACAGTGTACAGTGCACGTGTGCGTGTACGTACCTGCGAGCGCGAGGTGGAACAGCAGCGCGCTGGGCGGCGGGGTGGCGAGGCGCGGGCGCAGGCGCGCCCACAGCGCCAGCAGCAGCAGCAGCGGCGCCGCGCACGTACACTACGTACATGTGTGCACGAGTGTACAGTGTACAGTGCACGTGTGCGTGTACGTACCTGCGAGCGCGAGGTGGAACAGCAGCGCGCTGGGCGGCGGGGTGGCGAGGCGCGGGCGCAGGCGCGCCCACAGCGCCAGCAGCAGCAGCAGCGGCGCCGCGCACGTACACTACGTACATGTGTGCACGAGTGTACAGTGTACAGTGCACGTGTGCGTGTACGTACCTGCGAGCGCGAGGTGGAACAGCAGCGCGCTGGGCGGCGGGGTGGCGAGGCGCGGGCGCAGGCGCGCCCACAGCGCCAGCAGCAGCAGCAGCGGCGCCGCGCACGTACACTACGTACATGTGTGCACGAGTGTACAGTGTACAGTGCACGTGTGCGTGTACGTACCTGCGAGCGCGAGGTGGAACAGCAGCGCGCTGGGCGGCGGGGTGGCGAGGCGCGGGCGCAGGCGCGCCCACAGCGCCAGCAGCAGCAGCAGCGGCGCCGCGCACGTACACTACGTACATGTGTGCACGAGTGTACAGTGTACAGTGTACAGTGCACGTGTGCGTGTACGTACCTGCGAGCGCGAGGTGGAACAGCAGCGCGCTGGGCGGCGGGGTGGCGAGGCGCGGGCGCAGGCGCGCCCACAGCGCCAGCAGCAGCAGCAGCGGCGCCGCGCACGTACGCTACGTACATGTGTGCACGAGTGTACAGTGTACAGTGTACAGTGCACGTGTGCGTGTACGTACCTGCGAGCGCGAGGTGGAACAGCAGCGCGCTGGGCGGCGGGGTGGCGAGGCGCGGGCGCAGGCGCGCCCACAGCGCCAGCAGCAGCAGCAGCGGCGCCGCGCACGTACGCTACGTACATGTGTGCACGAGTGTACAGTGTACAGTGTACAGTGCACGTGTGCGTGTACGTACCTGCGAGCGCGAGGTGGAACAGCAGCGCGCTGGGCGGCGGGGTGGCGAGGCGCGGGCGCAGGCGCGCCCACAGCGCCAGCAGCAGCAGCAGCGGCGCCGCGCACGTACACTACGTACATGTGTGCACGAGTGTACAGTGTACAGTGTACAGTGCACGTGTGCGTGTACGTACCTGCGAGCGCGAGGTGGAACAGCAGCGCGCTGGGCGGCGGGGTGGCGAGGCGCGGGCGCAGGCGCGCCCACAGCGCCAGCAGCAGCAGCAGCGGCGCCGCGCACGTACACTACGTACATGTGTGCACGAGTGTACAGTGTACAGTGTACAGTGCACGTGTGCGTGTACGTACCTGCGAGCGCGAGGTGGAACAGCAGCGCGCTGGGCGGCGGGGTGGCGAGGCGCGGGCGCAGGCGCGCCCACAGCGCCAGCAGCAGCAGCAGCGGCGCCGCGCACGTACGCTACGTACATGTGTGCACGAGTGTACAGTGTACAGTGTACAGTGCACGTGTGCGTGTACGTACCTGCGAGCGCGAGGTGGAACAGCAGCGCGCTGGGCGGCGGGGTGGCGAGGCGCGGGCGCAGGCGCGCCCACAGCGCCAGCAGCAGCAGCAGCGGCGCCGCGCACGTACACTACGTACATGTGTGCACGAGTGTACAGTGTACAGTGTACAGTGCACGTGTGCGTGTACGTACCTGCGAGCGCGAGGTGGAACAGCAGCGCGCTGGGCGGCGGGGTGGCGAGGCGCGGGCGCAGGCGCGCCCACAGCGCCAGCAGCAGCAGCAGCGGCGCCGCGCACGTACACTACGTACATGTGTGCACGAGTGTACAGTGTACAGTGTACAGTGCACGTGTGCGTGTACGTACCTGCGAGCGCGAGGTGGAACAGCAGCGCGCTGGGCGGCGGGGTGGCGAGGCGCGGGCGCAGGCGCGCCCACAGCGCCAGCAGCAGCAGCAGCGGCGCCGCGCACGTACACTACGTACATGTGTGCACGAGTGTACAGTGTACAGTGTACAGTGCACGTGTGCGTGTACGTACCTGCGAGCGCGAGGTGGAACAGCAGCGCGCTGGGCGGCGGGGTGGCGAGGCGCGGGCGCAGGCGCGCCCACAGCGCCAGCAGCAGCAGCAGCGGCGCCGCGCACGCGCACGCGCACACGTCCGACACCGCGCGCGCCGGCCGCGCCTCTGCCGCGCGGAACTGGTGCGAGATCTCTGGCAGCGGGACTCGCACACTGGCTACACTACCGCGCACTGGCAACCCTGCCGCGACAAACACACTATTTGTATTTTACAAGCGTAAAGCAATGAAGATGAATTTTTGAAGGCTCCGTGACGTAGTGGTTTAGCATTATGTTGCGGCGTGAAGGGCCGCAGGTTTTAAACCCGCACGGTACAAGTATTTGTATGGCATACAAATTGTTTATTGATTTTCATTTTTTGAAATCTACCCTCAACTTTATTATGATGTTTCACATCTGCCGGGCGTCCCGAGACGGCCAACTTTATTTTTATAGGATAAGGGTAACAAACAAGCAACACACAGCCCACCTGATGATTAGTGGGTACTGTGGCCGATAGACATCTTAACAGATTTCTTTGCATTGTCACCTCTGAGAACTAAGATGGAATGTCAAGTATCTAGTAAAAAGGGTCTTCTGTTCTTTACACTCACTATACGAAACTCAGCAGCATTGAGCTGCTACTTTACCCTGGTATTCAGTGAGAGCGTCCTCAACCGGTCGAGCCAACTCACTTATTTTTAGTCACAATATTATACAGCAACTTACATTTCTATTATGTCTATTAGATGTTACAAGTATAAAGCTTTGAAGGTGGATTTCGATAGACAAATTGGCGTCCATGGCGCACATTGACAACTCTGCCACACGCATAATCAACTACTCTAATTTTTTTAACACAGAAAAGCTTGTACTAATGAAGGCTAATAATTTTATGTCCACCAGATGGCGCTAGTTGAGACAGGTAAACTTATTTGTCACGCGGATTGTCACACAGTGTCATCATCATTGGAATGTTGCGTTTTAAATAAAAGTTTTTAGGTTTGTAATTTTATCTATATACCCAAAACATTGCCTCAGTGATGTGATTTTTAATTTTTATACATTTTTTTGTCGCAACCTTCTAGTTTTAAGGATTCCCGTAGTTTAGTTTATCTATTTCTAATCTAATTAATATTCATCATCATCATCAACAGCCTGCGGCTGTCCAGTGCTGGACATAGGCCTGCCCCAATGTGCAACATTTAGCCCGATCTTCGGCTACACGCATCCAATTGCTGCCGACCGCCTAGCGCAGATTATCTCTCCATTTAGCCAGGGGGGGGGGGGGTCCTACACGAAGTTTAGCTAAACAAGATCTCCACTCTATAACACGCCTACTCCAACGGTTATCGCTTCTGCGACAGTGTGACCATCCCAATGCCACATCAGCCAGAAAATACGGAAGGCTATGTTGGTGACCTTGGTTCTCCGGCGAATTTATTCGTTACAAATCTTATCCACCAGAGAAACTCAGTGCATAGCTCTTTCCAGTCGCCTTGAGTTTGTGGAGTAGTCGTACCGTTAGTGTCCAAGTTTCGGCACCATATGCGAGTACAGGCAGGACGCACTGGTCGAAGACTTTCGTCTTCAAACTCTGCGGTATGGACTAAGAGCAGACCTGACGAAGATTCCCTAATGCTGCCCAGCCCAACTGAATCCGAGTATCGGCTATCTGGCTGAGGTAGATATACTCTTGAACAACTTCAAGAATCTTACCATCAACGATAATCGAATCTGGGATGACATGACAGTTAAACATGACTTTCGTCATTTAAATTCATAAGCAGTCCGACACGTTGGGAGGATTCATTAGGGAGCATTAATTTTATTATACGTGGTAGAGCCATGCTACAGCTAAATTAATAGTATAGTTGTAGCACGAATGGGTCGGCTCGACCGGGGAAGAACCACGCTCTCACAGAATACCAACGTCAAATAGCAACTTAAAACTGCTGTGTTTCGTATGGTGAGTGTAGAGAACCGGAGACCCTTTTTATTGGAAACAAGGCATTCCATCTTAGTCTTCACGGGTGACAACGCAGCTGCATTTTGATTCGCAAACGTGGATAGATATAGATGTGTATGGGCCACAGCAACCACTTACCATCAGATGGACTGTGTGCTCGTTTGTCACCCTTATACTATAAAAAAGGCTGCTTGATATCATCGACAAAGCGTAAGTAAGAAAGTAAGAGATGTTTCGCCATTTATATTGATGCCGCGTCCATTCCAGTTTAGCGTCTTTAAAACATCCTCCAGTACATTTGTGAACAGTTTCGGGGATATTGTGTCCCCCTGTCTCACAGCTCACTCTACGATGTAACTGGATAGGTTTTGTAAGACCACCCTGAACTTGGACAGACATCGAGCTTTTGGTGTTTAAATGTCTCAAGACATCGATATATCGCCAGTCAATCCGGCAACTCTTTAAGGAATTCATAACAGCCAAAGTTTCGATGGAGTCAAAGGCTTTCTCAAAGTCCACAAAGGCCAGACAAAGAGGCTGATTATACTCATTCGTCATCGTATAATTTGCCTCACTGTGTGGATGTGGTCTATTGTGCCATTGCTTCCTCGAAACCTAGCCTGCTCGGGTGGTTGAAATTCGTCTAATCACAGCACGTCAATTTGTAATGACCCTCAAAAACAATTTATAGCTGTGGCTCAGAAGCAAGATGGGCCGATAATTCTTTAATATTGTTTTGTCACCTTTCTCGCAAAACAAGACTGTGATGCTTCTGCTCCACGCTTTTGGCGAGCTCTCATCTCGTAAAACGCAGATAAAAAATCGGCAGAGCTCTTTTAGTAATGGTTGCCCCCCGCTTTCAAGAGCTCTGTTGTAACTCCGTCCTCTCCTGCGGCTTTACCATATTTAAGCTGCCGACTGTCTTTTTTCACTCCCACATTTTTTTACCACTATTACAACAAAACTTACCGTTACAGCCTATTAAATAATGCTATTGCCACGCTAGGTAAGCAGGTTGGCAACGGCAGTTTTTTTTTTTCGTCTTAATCAGGAAGACGCTGCTGTCCATCTCCTGATTTGTTTCTCTCTGTCACCTCTAGACATGAGTGATAAATAACATCATCATCAGCCTAAGTTACGGTGACTAAATACGTTCCAAAATAACGTTGTTTCTTCGCGCCGCCACCTTACTATTTTCTCTGTTACTCTTGTCTCTGATTTAACTACAAAAAAAGGAACCACGCGTACCTTGTTACACGATCTTGGCATTGATCTTGGTACCTAATAAATCTAAAATGCATATTATACATAGTAACATTATGTATCGTTCTAATGTTCCAAGTAGGTATGTAACGTTATCAACGTGACAATGTCACAACGATTTTTCACTATTATTTTTATGGAATTGAAACGACAGTTACGGTTATTTAAAAATAACACTTCGCCATGTTTAGTAGCCTCTTGCGACACCCACGGGATGATATGGATATTCATACACATTTCTTCCCTTCCGCGGTCTAGCGCCGACCCAACGTGGTACAACCAAGCTACAGCGTGGTTATACCACGTAAAAATCGTAGAGCCATGCTGCAGCTATATTGTATGGTTTCTCTATTTAAAGTTCTATTTCAGTAATTTTAACAATATAAAGTTTTCACTCAATTGAAATGAACGTCTAAATTAATAAGCATAATTAAATGATGCATACCAACGGCATTGGCGTCCCTGCCGAAGTTGAAGATGACTTCGCCGAGCTCCCAGGCAATAGGATTGGAGACCGCGCTGTCTCCTAAGTATAGCGTCAGGGAATGAGCGCCTGAAGCGTAGTTAAGGTGCTTTGCGATCGCTCCCACGTTCTGTAAACAAATGTGACAATTTATATTAATCTATAAGAATCTCATACATCATTTAGTTTGCATTTTAAATCTTAATATACTGTTTTTATTTCCACATGATTATTCAAACTTAAAATTTATACATATTAAGCTATATTTTATTACTACTTGGTGCGTAAATTGGTGTGGTCGCGTTTTAGAAAATGACAATGAATTCGTCATTATCTATTAAAAAAAAATTGCCGTAACAATTAAAATTTAATTAATAGAATCAGGCGTTAGAGCTTTTAGAAAAAATTACTTCGCAAATATCCGCGTTATAAAATAAAATGATGTGTCTTACCTAGTATGAAGAGTACTTCCCGCCCTCCCTCAATCGCGTGCACTATCCCCGTCACCACTAATCCCAGCAGCGCTACTCCCAACACCACTACACTAGGCAAGACACACCACTGACGACAATACGACACGTGTTTCGCCTCTACACGAGGCATCCTCAGGTGATATAGACTCTACTCTTCATACTAGGTAAGACACATCATTTTATTTTATAACGCGGATATTTGCGAAGTAAATTTTTCTAAAAGCTTTTATACAATTAAAATTACCAAAGACTGGAAGAAAGTCGTGAGGGGGAAGTGAGACGTGAGGAAAGGGATATTAAAATAGATAGTGTTATAGATTAGTAAATAATACATAATACATGTGAACTAGTCATCAAAATCTAATAGCTTTATGATAAAGTCTGTTTTCATTCTTACTTTTCATAGATTTTATTATCATTACATCTCTAGAAACTTCAAATCTCATAAGTCAATATGGCGGGAACTGTACCGCCGGCTGATTGCTGCTCTTGTTTTGTCGTTTACATTAACTGAAGTGGGTTTTGTATACGTAAAGCCGCGTATCCACCAAAAATGTTGACAACAATTATGTTTCCAACTGTTTACAACTGTTTCCAACAAGCGTCTCCACCGAGGGAACAAATGTTGGCAACAAGCGTATTCCTTTATGTTGCCGCCGAAAATGGAAACAAGTTTTGTTGGCAACATAACTTTGGTTGAAACGCGGCTTAAAAGTGATGCTATATTGTGTATTGTCTGAGCTTGTGAACTTTTAGAAATCATGAAACAAGTGCTCCAGTGTTGATATAGTAGTTTGTCCGCTTAGGTAACTAAAAAAATTGAAATACTGTTGTATCGACTATCCATTGCGTTAAGATGTCGTTAAAATCTCGCAAGAACTTCTCAATGTGACACATCGGCATATTGTGAAGAAGTTTTTGAAACAAAATATTATATGGGATAATTTATTATTACTTGACACTAGCAAAAATATAACCTTACAAGTCCATAACCAAACACAAAACACATACCTATGCTTTGTGGAAAAGTAGCGTTTTTTTATAGGATAAGGGTGATAAACGAGCATACAGTCCACCTCATGGTAAGTGGTTGCTGTAGCCCACAGACATCTACATCTATCCTCGATTACAAATCAAAATGCAGATGCGTCATAACCCGTGAGAACTAAGATGGAATGCCTCGGTTCCAGTAAAACGGGTCGCCGGTTCTCTACACTCACCATACGAAACACAGCAGCCTTAAGCTGCTATTTTAAGCTGGTATTCTCCCGGTCGAGCCGACCCATTCGTGCTACAACTATACCACTAATATAGCTGCAGCATGGCTCTACCACGTTTAAAACACGTATATAACATTCACTATATTTCTGGGGGTGATATTTCGTATTATGATAACTCTTTTTATACAATCTCTTTTACAAATTCTTTAGTTAATAACATATAACAAGTTACTAGCTCTACTACCCCATATCGTTCCGTGGGTGTCGTAAAAGGCGACAGAGGGAATGTGAAACAGGCGATGAGCAGCAACACCTTCCTGGTACCAACTCAAAATAATAATATAAAACAGCGGTTGCCAACTCGCCTGCCAAGCGTGGAAACTATGGCAAATCCCCGCTGTGATGCAATCTATGGGGGAGACCTTTGTTCAGCAGAGGTTTTATGTTCTGTAATGGATGGAATATATAAAAGAAAATTGTTATAGTACATACCAGCTCGACTCTATAGGTGTTGGCGCTGGGTTCTGCCACGTAAATGGCCTCGAGCGAGTCCGGGGCGCCGGCCGCGACTGGCGCAACGCGGACGAACGCCTGCTGTACGGACACCGGTTTGTTGAATTTGTCCCGTACGCTGAACTTCAGACTCAATCTATGTTCGTGAAACATAATGTCTTATTAAAATGTCTATTTGCTAGATTTCTTTTCATAGAAAAAGTGCCGACGCGGATAGAGAAAGAGGGCGGTGCAAAGCCTCCTGTGCCAGCAAAAATTCGGTAAAGAAATATCAGCAAAACAGCTCTTTCTGAATAGTGAATACTTTTAATTAAAATATAATGAACACTGTAGCATAGAAAATTCTAAAAATAGAGAAATTCTGCATACACGCACTTTTCAATGGTAAGGATAAGTACAAAAATACAATATATTATTATTGTTATATTCATTTTCAAATATTAAATATAGTTAAACATAGGCTAATAACAAAGACTTAAAGATTTTATATTTTTAAAATACTTGCGAAAATAAGGGATGGGGATGAGGGTGGCAGTTTTGGCTATGGCAGACAGCAAGCAATGCCACTTTCTGGCCTTCCAGAAAATGATAGGCTTAACATATTTTTTTAAGTGTAAATCAAACACGAATCCTAGACATATTATGTTGCTTTATTAGAGAAACAGATTTATTTTTAAGGCATAGGAATGTAATATATTTATAATTTATATATGTAATACTTATATTTATTTTATATTTATTATTACATATACATATACAGTATGTAATTATAAATTGCCATTTAAATATTGAGTTAGCTTGAAAAACCTAAAGGCATCTGTGCACGACGCAAACATAGCAATACCTCGAACGAAATGACTTACGGATTGCTTGTGGTAACCATCGCTAGTTGAACAACCTGGGGACGGTGGGCGGAGCCAGGAGAATGTTATGATCGTCGGGGCGCGCTCACGGTTCCACAACTAGCGGTGGTTGCCCACAGCAACGCGGGAAAAGACGTAGCATTAATATTAATGAATATAGCATTTATTGGTAAACAAATGATATTGTAACTATGGAATAACTCTCGCAATAAAGGCACCGACCAACTGGCGAGAGTTAATATAGATTTAGGATATAGAAATTAATCAATACCAAATTGTAGAATAAGTATTATGTGTAAAGTATATTCCCTTGTATAGTTCAATTTAATTTCATATATACTAAGCCCTTAGGCACGATAAACAATAAACAGGGCATGTTACCGTGACTCGGCCGCGGAGCGAATGAGGCTACGCGCGCCGCGCCACGACGTTTTATATTTATAGTGCTGAGGCGGGGGGCAGGGTTCTCAGCTCAAAATTGCGGAAATAATAACGTATTAACCTGTATTATGTAGAAAAATTATTATATAAGTACTAGTTAAATAAGCAATTGTAAAAATATAATATATTTAAGTTTGTACATTAGTTTATAAGAAATTTGCCAAATAAAGAAAGGCGCGGGGGTGAGGCAAGGGTCCGCTGGCCAGCAATGGCCGAATCATATAAAAGACGGGCCGGTCGGAACGGTCGGCAGAACGGTGATCCCCCACGCCATACGATAGTTTTAATAGTTTTTTTTTAGTTTCTTTTTAGTTTGTTAGTTGTAGAATCGGTTAAAATGTCCGCTCAGGACCTAAAAACTTCGCTTCACGAGGCCATCAATAGGATGTACGACCCGCAGGCGCTTACCGCCGTTCTAGCCCTTCTGACTGCTCGCGCCCGTAAGGCAATTATCCCGCTGCCCGTAATAGCGGCCCACATTGAGTCCCAGAACTCATTCGCGCCTCTCGAAGTAGACATGGAGTGCTCCAACTCCAACTCCGACTCAGAATCTACACTCCGGGGCTCTGGTTCTACGGAGTCGTCTGACTCAGACGGATCCGAAGAATGAGAGTTCACGACAGTGTCTTCCAAGCGTCGTATACGCGCCGCGAAAACCGTTTCGGCGGCCTCTGCCGCCCCCGCAAACCCCGTAGCTCCCGTAGCTGCCTCAGTCCCCGCAGCTCCCGCTGCAGTTTCAGTAACACCACTGCCCAAGCCGGCCTCTCGCTGTGCTTCTAACCCGACTAAGAAGCAAGTCCCGCCCCCTGTCTTCTTACGAGACAAGGCTCAATTCACCCGCCTCTCCAAAACCTGCTACGACGCAGGAATAAAATACGACCAAGCCACCAACCTCGGGGAGGCTATTAAAATCATCCCCAAATCTGTCGACGACTTTCGTCGTCTCACCAGGCTCTTCACAGCCGAAAAAGTCTCTTATCACACGTACGCTCTTCCGGAAGAGCGCAAAATCAGGGCCGTCATCCGAGGCGTCCCTTTTGAAATTTTCAACGAGGAAATCCTTGAGGACCTTAAGTACCAAGGATTCCCGGTTAAGGCTGTGCATAAAATGCACAGCAGAACGGGCTAGAGGTTCCCCCTCGCTCTCGTTATTCTTTCAAACGCTCCGGAGGCACAGACTATCTTCCGGCAGTTACGCACAGTGTGTGGGCTGTCGGGAGTTAGGGCTGAGCTCCCACATAGGCGCGGCTACCCGGCGCAGTGCCACCGCTGCCAGTTATATGGTCATGCGGCGGCCAACTGCTCCGCCCCACCCAGGTGCGTTAAGTGTCTCGACCCCCACAATACGAAAGAGTGTCCCCGGCCCAAAAATGCCGAATCCCCACCCGCGTGCGTCCTGTGCAAACAAACAGGCCACCCGGCTAACTACAGAGGCTGCCCTTGCGCACCTCACCCCCGCCCCATTAGGCACGCTCCACCGCCGGTTAATGCCAAGTCATTCCCGGCCCTCCCGTCAAGATTGCCACCTAAGAGATATTTTCGCCCATCTCAGGTAGACCCAAGGCCCACCCGGGTCCCTCCCCCTCTTCTTCGCCCACCTCCGGGCTTCTCGCAACCATCACAGCCTCCAGTCTTCCCCTGGGGACCCAAAAAGGCCGACCCTCCGCGGTCGTCCCCCGCTGCACAGCAAGCACAACCCTCAATGGTTGATGATCTAAATACGGTGTACGCCGCTATTAAGAACATCAACATTGGGGAGATCACAGTCTTAGCACGCAAATTGCGCGCTGCCAAGTCCCCTCAGGACAGACTCCTTGCTCTTACAGAGCATCATAATCTTTTAAGTACGTTATAAAATTATTTTAATCATTTCATCGTAAGGTAAATACGTCGGGTTAAAACTGCCTTCGTAGGCACTCACTAATTAAAACTCTCTGAAACTTCTTCAAAGTCTCAGAGTTTCATTAAACATACTTATTCGTGAGGTAGCTAAGTGTGCAACCCCACTCCCTCTCGCTATCGCATCCGCAGGCCGAGGAACTCCCACTCGAATCCGCCTATTCTCTGTCAAACGATTTGAACTGCCTCCTGGTGGCTCAGTCAATTTCATAATTAAACTTTCACAAATAATTAAATTTTTACAATCAAACTGCCTTCGTAGGCACTCCCTCAGCGGCTTATAGCCGCCTGCGCCCTCTTTTTCCCAAAAGAGGGTCGCTTTACGATACGGCATAGGAAGCTTTAAACAGCTGGTTGCCAGTCCCCAAAGGCGGTTTTTAGGGGGTATCACATAGGCTCCCCGGTTAGGCGTGAGTCCCCCATAACCACGATGGATAGCCATCGTGGTATGCGTAATGCATTTTCCGCCTCCCGTAAAGGGTAGCCCTTTTCCAAATTGCTTCGGGCGCATAAAAAAAAAAAAAAAAAAAAAAAAAAAAAAAAAAAAAAAAAAAAAAAAAAGAACGGTCGGCAGTCGCTCTCCAGCTACAGTAAAGAAAACAACAAGAAAGAAAAGAAAAAGTTCCTCCTCACCGCCGCTTGCCTCCAGTAGTAAGCAAGACCAACGTGTTTCACTCATTTTTCGAACGGCGTTACGGCGATCCGTAATATTAATGGTCCTTCGAGAAGCCGGATTGCTAGAAGAAAAAGACAATATCGGTCTTGGTATTGCCGGAAGAAAGAAGCAAACCGCAAGAACGAAAAAATATTATCGTGAAGAAAAATGGTGATTACACGTAGTAACAACGGAGAATCATCGAAGCGTCGCAAGGATGAACAAATAACCCAGGGGGCCACAGAAGAGGCCTCTGGGGGCGATTCAACCGCTACTGGTACATCCAACACCACGAGCGAAACCACAACGGTCAGCGATACAACCGCTACCTCTGCGACCGATAACACGGCCGCAACGGAAGAAACCCAGCGAGAGAGGGATCGAAGATCGCAGCGCACACTAAGGCCCGACGAGACTAGGTCGAGCGGTTAGCCGAACTCAAACTCGAGCAGGCTCAGTTGCAAGCATGAACGGAATTGCAAGAAATACACGTGCAGCGATTACAAGCAGAAGTCGGATCAACCGATGACGAAGATGAAGAAATAGAAGACGACTTGGCATCAGTACGCATTAGTACATGGTTGCAAGAAAAACCTACATCGCAACCAGCCCCGCAGCCTGCGCCGCAACCCATGTCGCACTTCGCATCGCAACCCGCTGCGCAGTCTACATCGCAACCCGCGTCGCAGCCCGCGTCGCAGCCCGCGCCGCAACCCGCGCCGCAACCCGCGCCGCACTTCGCATCGCAACCCGCTCCGCAGTTTGCATCACAACCCGCGCCGCAGAAAGAAGACAATGGGCAGGCGCAGCAACAAATCGACGTCGCTACCTTAGCCGCTGCTCTATCACAAGCAGTACGAAGCACAAGGGAGCCGCCGAAATATGTGCAAGAGCTACCTACATTCAATGGTAGCAGCAAAGAATGGCTCAGCTTCAAAACAACGTACGAAGAATCTTCAAAGTACTTCACAATGAACGAAAACATAGCGAGAATACGCCGAAGCTTAAAAGGGACAGCAAAAGAAGCCGCCGGTTGCCTACTTATAAGCCAACCAGATCCCAGCCTGATAATGGAAGCTTTGGAAAGGAGATTCGGACGACCAGAAGCGTTAATCCACTTGGAAATAGAGAAGCTGAAGCTGCTGAATAAAGTTACGGACAATCCCAGGGAGCTATGCATATTCGCAAATCGCATAGCAAACGTAGTGGGCACCGTGGAAGCACTCAAGAAAGCACACTATCTGCATAGTCCGGAAATGACGCGAGTTATCACAGACA